TCTCCACTCCCCTCATCATCCAAACTCAATCTCCTAGAGCCTAGGAGTGAACTCGTGGTTTAGTTGCTAAGATGTGTCCAATTCTTTTGCAACCCCATAGACTGTAGCCTGCCAGGTGCCTCTGTCCATGTGATTTCCCAGGCAAGAATACTAGAGTCGGTTATCATTTCCTCCTTCAGGGGATCTTCCCGACCCAGGGATCGAACCCATGTCTCCTGCACTGGCAGGCAGATTCTTTGCCTCTGAGCCACAGGGAAAGACCCGAAGACTGCAACTATTCAATCCCCAATTTAGCGATTTCCCTTCTCTACTTAAGACCTTAAGGTAAATGACACCTCATCACCTCCACCTGTGAAACCCAAACAATAATCTAAGACCAATACTGGCGAAATGAGGGAGAAAAAGAATATCTTAGTTTTTCACAAAGTCAATGTACTCAATTAAGAGGAATATTTATTGTGATATTTTGCTTCCTGCTTTTTTGGTGTCAAAATATCCTTTTGATTACGAAAAGGTGGGTGAGGACATGATGGTTTTTAAGAAACAGTTCCACGAAGGAAATTAAAAAGCTGGTAAATCTATGACAGCTGAGCTTTACTTGGTAATTGCCCATGGAAAAGTCTGGGAAACACTGACTCACAGGATAAAAAAAAAGCCAAAGATAAAAAGTGCCTTCACCTACCTAAATCTTCTCACTCTCCCAGTAGATTTTTTTGCTCCTGCAAAACAGCAGTGCAGTAGTGCCCTGCACAGTCTAACTGTCTCCCCTTTGCTCATGCTTTCCCAGGAATGGAATGACCTCAACAACTTCTCTTCTTCCCTCAGCTGATGTACTGAGTACCCACTATGCCAACCACTGTCTCTACAGAGTGAGCACTGAGCAAGAGAGAAACGCCACTGTATCCACGGAGCTCAGTCTAGTGGCGGAAACAAGTATTAATGAAAGAAAGAATTAAAAACTATCCCAAGTACTACCTTAAAGAGAGTGGAATGAAGGTGCCCCAAATCGAAAGCAGGAAGACTCGTCAGGAAGGTACTATCGTTCAGGTGAGAGCTGTCAATGATTTGGACCAGGGCAGAGGCATGGAGAAGACAAGATTTTGAGTTGACAGGCTTTGCTGAGAAACTGAATAGGTGATTGTCTCGCTGTTCCTCACTGCGCACTGTTGAACCCATGGTAGGCAAGGCATGAGCAGGGATGATGGAAGAAAACTCAAGGACCTGTAGGAATGGCAGACACGTCTACAGTCTCCTGACTGGCATGGCAGCCATAGAAACAGACGCACTGTATCCTCTCCTCTCACGGCTGACCTAGCGGACACAGCTGTAACGTGCCCCGAGGGCCTCTCAGGTGCTGCTTATATGGGGCACTGCACAGGCACAGTGCAAGAAATGATCTCAGCTGTTACACAACTACGTGTTTACAAAACGTGGGGCAAGGGCGAGGCCGTGGGGCGAGAGCCTGACCACTACTAATTTGCTGATCTTGGCTAATTTGCTCTTTCCCTACAGAGATTAAAAAAAAAAAAGAAATACATCAAAGATGACTAAAGCACAAATGACTATGACGACCTGCATTAGAAGTCTTCCCATACATACCCATTCTGCACTTGATTATACTACTTGCTTTGGCCAGGGGAACAGCAACAAACTTACTGTGAGCAGAGCCTGAAAAAACTCTTGTGCACTGCTTGTCTCTTGGAATAAGCCTGTGGCAGCCTGCTGGATGAGAGACCACATGGAGGCAAACCAAGAGGACCATCTGAAATCATCTTAGAGCAGCCTATAAGCCAGAGAACCCCAAATGTATGAGAAAGCCGAGTCATGACTAGAACCACCTAGCTAACCGTGGACTTATAAGCACTAATAACTGCTTGCTGTTTTGAGCCACTGAGTTTTGAGGTGGTTTTTTAATGCAAGGCTAATTAACATGGAGTTATCATTTATTTATGTAAGGTGGGAGAAGGAATGAAAAGAAACAGCAAGCTCATTTTCTTTTACCCTGATCAACTCCTACCTATTCTTTAAAGCCCAAGTGAGATATCAACTCCCTCAAGAAGCTTTCCTACATGTCTCTGGCTGGTTTGACAAACATGGAAACACCATCACTATGTTTTGTACATATCCCGATCACTGCCTTACCACATCCTCTTGTAATTATAGGCTTACACTTTTCTTCCTAGCTAGACAATAGCAACTTTACATTACTGTATCATATTCATCTTGATTGTATCAGCATGTAACATAAAACAGGCTCTCAAGAGAGGTTGCTGAGTTTGTATAAATTATCCATTAAACGAATAAACCCTTGCTTGATACTATAAAACCTATTAACTCTAAATTATCGCTCAAAGTGTGATCCACTGACAACATGAATCAGAATCAGCAGGGTTGCGTATTAAAAATGCAATCTCTGGGCTCTTTATCGTCAACAAAAATGCCACTCGTTACATTGTAAAAACGGGGATGATTATTCCCGCCACCGACAGATAAACAAAATAAGTAGTAAAAATGTGGGTACTAAACCAACTCGTCTCCATTTTTTTCTCGAGATGTAATCTACGACACAGTCCTCAATCTGACAGAGCCTATAACTGCAATAGAGTTTCTCTTCTAAGAATTGGGTCTCAGCCAGAGGACAGGAGCAGGTCTCCAAAGAGGTGTGGCTTCTCAACGTACACAGAGGATGCTCCAAGAGCAAAGCCTGTCCTGATCACTCTCTGCAGCAGGGATCAGACCAGGACCGATAGGCGGGCGGGGCCTCGGCAGTACCCCGGGCAGGCTCTCGGAGCCCGGGCAGCAGAGCCCACGGAACCCACGGTCCTGCTACGCCAGAGCCACTCGAAGGCGGCTCCCTTGGGGGTCGGGGATGGGCGTCATTCCCCGAAGCCATGGTCAACCCCAGCTCTGCTTGACCGTGAGAAAAGCCACAGTCGCCTGGCTAGCCGAAGTCAGAAAAGAAAATGCACGACGCGTCGCGCCGAAGGAACAGAAAGGGGAACGGAACAGAGTATGAGAGGGTGCCGCCGCTTCCCACCTGCGTCAAGTTCCAGCTGGTAAGAGGGCAGCGGCTCGAGGGAGAGCTTGTAACCCTCGAAGCGGGGATCCAGCAGAGGTCTCTTCACCCGCAGGGAGCAATTAGCGGCTACCTCCATCGCCTTCCAGGGGCCCAGCGTGAGGATTAGTAAAGCTCTCGTTGAAAGGTCCGCGCTTCCCTGGTAGCACCGTGGCTTGGAGGCGGCGTGGTTCTCATCCCAGAAAACACTGCGGCGTAGCGTGCCTTCTGGGAAATGTAGTGCCCGCGAGAAAGTTGCTTCTGTTGCATGCTGGGATATGTAGTCTTTCGGGAACTCCATGCCCGTGCGACAGAAGGATCTGGACTCTCTTACCCAGAAGGCTGAGCGATCAGGAGGCGGCCCGCGCTAGTTAAATTCTCACTTTATAGGCAGGGTGGCGAGACCCCGCCCCGGAAATGCGTGTGCTAGCTTTCTGTGTGCTTAGGTGCCCGAGCTACTGAGGGTCTAGGTCCGGGCAGCCGAAGAGTGTGGTAGGTAACGGTCGTCAGCGCAAGGGTCATTTCGTCGCTGGGAAGGGACGGCCCTCGCCCGCGGTGATGGTGGTGAGCTATGCCCGTGGTCCTCAGGGCCGGGACCCGGGCCCAGCCCAGGCTCCTTTCGATGTGCTGTCTTTCCTTAGCTTCCCCAACCCGCGCTCGCGGGCCTGTAGGGCTCTCCGACAGGGCGTGCTACCGGAGTTGGCCTGAAGCCAGTCCTCGCTTTGTTTTCTGGCTCCTCCCCTCCCGCCTCTCCCGCTGTCTCCGCCCTATTCTATTTTCCCAAAGAATGTCTGAACTGGGAGGGATCCCCTAGCGCCCTTGTTTTACCAGTGAGAAAACTGAGGCCTTTAAGAACTGACTTGTCCAAGGTCACTATCCGTAGTGTCGGGGCGAAGGCAAGATCAAGTTCAGTATTCTAGGGAAGGTACTGACTGTAGACCTTAGTTTTATTTTGAAAATGTTAGCCTCCAACTGCAAAAGCAAACATATCCTAGTTCTTTCTCAACCTCTCCTTTTCCTGTTGCAATTAAAAAAAAAAAAAACCACACAACTCTGAAAACTCACCGCCACTCTCAGTTTTCTTATAGGAGGCGAGTTGGGAGACGACAAAAGTTCTCAAGTTAGTGACAGATAAGTAGGGTAACGTTAGCTTAACTCCAAGTTTTACAACTTAACCTTCCTCCTATTTCTACATCGTTTTGGTTGTCTGTTTTTACTGAAATTTGAGAATTTTCTAAGTTAGGAATTTATTTGAGATTTATTTTTTCTTTATCCCAACCTGCAAGTTTTGATAAAGAACATACACACCCACACACAGCTAGTTTGGTGGTTGTAATTCTGTACATCCTAGTGAAAAGTAAAGCGATTAAGAGCCTTACCTGGAAATTTTGTCACCAACTGTACTTAATCTTTTATTGATATTCAGGTTATATAGCTTCCCCCAAATTTTGAATGCGTTTAATTAAGAGGCAGAAATGATTAACAGTCAGTTATTATGTGCTGTTAGAGTATTTGGGGACTTCTGGGGTCACAGTATCTGAGTTCACTATTCTATCTTGGTTCCTCAGTTTCCTCACCTGTAAAATATAAACTGTGTTAATACTACTTACATAAAAGAATAAGATCTGGGAATTAAATGAGATAAAAACACATTAGCTCAGTGCCAGGCACATATACATTTAATAAATGTACAGTAATTGTTATTATCCAAAGACTTATTAACGAAGGGTATATGGGGGGGATTGTAAAGTTCATCATTATGACTTCTTGGGAAACAGTAAATAATATTGAGAGTAACGACATTGTCAACACATTCCTGAAATTTATCACCCCTTCAGTTGATAGAATGTTACATGTGTTGAGGTGCTAGCCAGGAAGATTTAGAAGACAATGCTTTGTAAGTGTTCTGTATCTGAAAATACATGTTGATGTTCAGGTTAGCAAGATGAACAAAGATGCGCAGATGAGAGCAGCGATTAACCAAAAGTTGATAGAAACTGGAGAAAGAGAACGGTAAGTAATAGATTGTGTTAATAAATTACATTTAACATCTTTAAACTATAATTTTGTTATATTACAAGAATCTAGTTATCAAGTAACAATACTGATGTTAGCAGAAATAATTACAGAAAATTGAGATTATCCAAAACTTCAATTCCTAACATCAATTAAAAAAAAATGCTTAGGTCTGTTCAATATGGCAAGACACTTGTATGGAAGTGAATCATGTACAAAGATGAACAGGAAGTGACTCTCTCAAAAAATATGTAGTCTAAAGGAGAAGAAAATACATACCCAAATAACTGCCGTTGGAGATAAAATGTTGCCCAGTTTTTAACAGTCAACATAATGGAACCAGTTTCAGTTACCAGGCTCTCATATCCTCAGAGTGCATTTGCTGTTCTTACTCTCTGAAATATTCTTCTTTCCCCCATCTTTAACTGATTCGAGCTCATTATCAGGTTTTAATTTAAATATCATCTCTTCCAGGAATCTGTTAATTCCCAAATACCTTGTTCTGTCATAGCATTTAATTACTTTGTATTATACTGGCCGACTTGGCTAGTTTGTATAAGTAGGATCTGAGTTCCTCCACAGCAGAAACTGTATACCCAGCATCATACCTAGCACATAATTTGTCAAGTAAACATCTGAAGAATGAACAGGTTTGCAAGTGCAGAGGAGAGGCTAAAGCATCAAAAAAGGCTTCCAGGAGCAGGGTGATAAATTGTATGAGAGAAACCTAAGAGGAAACTTTCAGCTTCTACCTGGAGTTTAACATGATCAGTGAAGTCTCCCAGAATGGTGGAAGTGTTTCTTCATCTGGCAGAGAAGAATTAGTGGTTCCCCAGCACACTAAAAGAGAAAGGACAGTCTGGGCAGATGGAAACAAATATGCAAAGTCAGAGAAATTTGTTCTAATATGACAATATTCTGGGTGAACTGTGCAATTAAAATGTGAAAGGCAGTGGTCAGGAGAAATGTGGTTTTTGTATAATCAGAAATCTTTCCATTAAAAAGGATAAGAAACTGGCTCAACTAATGGAAATGTATAATATCGTGTAACTAAAAGTCTAGGGTTTGAAGGTGCTTCAGGCACCACTGGGTCCAGTCTCTCAAAAAATTGTCACCAAGAATATGTCTTTATTTTCCTCTCTCATATCTGCTTTCCTCTATTGGCTTTATTTTCCAGAAGGCACTACGCACAAGGTGGCAGGAATTAGGAGCTCAAAACTTACATCTCCAGCTAAGACTACCTTTCTCCTAGTAGTTTCAGCAATGGACTTAACTTGGTTACATCCTTGTTCAGTAATAGGCCATTCATGATTCACCTTGCCTAGCTCACATTTCCATTGCTAGAGCCCTTACCCAGATTTCTTACACCGGAGTTGTAGAGTGTTTTTACTGTCAAAGAAATGGCAGAAAAATAAGCGGTAGGTTTGCAAAAACATTTGTTGACTTATCCTTGGGTGGTTGGAGGCATTAAAAAATTTTAAGAGACTGACTAGATCATGTTGCACTTTAGGAATGTTATTTTGGCAGTGTGAAGAAAATTTGAAGGACTAAAGATAGATTGCAGAAGATAATATCAGGCTAAAAGTAAAATAGCAAAAAAGGAAAGAACTTAAGTTTTTTTTTTTTTTAAGTAAAATCAACAACCCTTGATAATGAGGAAGAAGAAAGCCTCTAAAACAGTGCCTTGGGAAACCAAGAGGATAGTATTGCCAGGAATGGCTGTAGGGGATTATGTATTATTGTTTTTCATTTGTCTTCATTCACGTAGCTTTAAGTTACTGAGTTTCTACCATTTGCCATGTCCTGTTAAGGTGTGAAGATAGAATAGTGAACAAAATGAAGTCTGTTCTTTTATACTGCTTACATTTTAATGGAAGGAGACAGAAAATACATGTGCAATGTGTCAGATGGTGAGGAGTTCTAGAGGAAAAATAAAGCAGAGAATAATCAGGTGTGTTATAGAAAGGAAAAAATGTAGACCTCACTGATGAAGAGATCAGAAAGATTTGAGGGAGTGGGGAGACTCAAGAGCCATGGTCCTGAGACAGCTCGCCTGGCTCTTTTCCTTTGGCGGCATTTCACAGCCTGTGGGAGCTCAGCCCCTTGTCAGGGATGGAAGCCAGGGCCCTGCAGTGAAAGCACCGGGTCTTGACCACTGCACTGCCAGGACACCCCCTTGCCTGGCCTTTTGAGGAACCCGTGGAAGCCACTGAGAGCGAGTCCGTTGGGTAAAGGAGAGAAACAGTAAAGGCAGAGACATCATTGGGGAGAGGGCACACCATGCAGGGTCACTTGGGCTATAGTAAAGTCCTGAAATTGCGTTCTAAGTAAACTGGGAGACCCTTGGAGGGTTTTGAGCTGGGAGAGGAGAAGGAAGTGTGCAGGGGAAGTGGCAGGGGAACAAGTCAGCAGGCTTTGGCAGCAGTCCAGTCAAGAGAAGATGGCGGCTTGAACTATCTAGTAATGGCAGAGGTGGTGAAAAGCATTTGAATTTCAGGTATGTGTTTAAAAACTGGAACCAATAGGATGTGCTTATAGATTGGATATTAGTGTTATCAAAATTACTGAGTGAAGGAGGCTGCCAAGGTTTCTAGCCTGAGCACCAAGATGAATGGAGTTGCCTTTCTGATAAGAACAGCTTGAGGTGGAAGAGAAGCAAGAGTTGGGTGTTGGCCCTGTTAAGATTAAATTACTTAATTAAACATCAAGATGGAAATGCCACTTAGTGGATGTTAGGAATATTGAAAAAGAAGCAGTTTGGCTTGGGACTCGACATGTTTAAGCTTAGAAATGAGATGATTTTAGGTTGAAGATTGAGGCTTTATAAACAGTAGGTTTTGCAGAAGATAAAATTTTTTTTGCACCCATGATGTCATTAGTTGTAATACATACCATTATTTTTTTAACCATTAAGAAAAGAAAATACTGCCAATTAAATTATGATAGGCAGGCCAATGACTGGATTGTTAAAATGTGGGAAAGTACAGTCTTAGAATTAATGAAATACCATAGTTAATGTAGTAACTAAAGTTCTTCCTTGGTGGTTCAGACGGTAAAAATCTGCCTGCAATGCAGAAGACGTGGGTTCGATCCCTGGGTCGGGAAGATCTGCTGTAGAAAGGAATGGCTATCCACTCCAGTATTCTTGCCTGGAGAATTCCATGGACAGAGGAGCCTGGCAGGCTACAGTCTGTGGGGTCACAGAGAGTCAGACATGACTGAGCTACCAACACATAACATAGCTAGTGTATAATTTAGAAGGGTAATGAGAAAAAGGGAGGGGGAAGTCTATAAGGTTGAGGGATAATGGGGCAGTAAGATAGTTAACAGTTAAGAATTTGTAGTTAAAGAATGGATTCTGGGATTTGAAGCTTTCAAAAGTACAGCTGCTTCAAACTCAACTAATACCCTTTTGAAGTGGTACAAAACCCATAACATTCCTGTTGGTGGAGGGAAGTAGAAAGTGTTTAAGAAGACCCAAGTAGGGTTTCTTACAAAGTATTGTGTCCCATCCACTTGACTGAATTTTATTGATGATGAAAATGAGGCTCAGTATTTAAATGACTCACATAAGATCAAAGAACTTTTTTAGTAATAGAACCAAAATTAGGTCATGATTAAATTAAAAGTTTTGTAACCAGAAGGCAGGGGATATTTCATTGAACAGTGAAGCTTTGCTTCAAACATTCTTATCTAAGATACTGTACGCTGCTGTAGTTTAATTTGGAAACACTTCTTTTTCAACAGCCTCAAAGAGTTGCTGAGAGCTAAATTAATTGAATGTGGCTGGAAGGATCAGTTGAAGGCACACTGTAAAGGTAATCAGTTTCATTTAGAGGATAAGCTAATTCCATTGCTCTCAACTGTGTGGGTCTGAAATTCACTAGAAAAAATTATAATTAGTACTTTAAGATATATTGAGTGTTCAAGCATAGTTTTACACAAATAGAAAATTGAATCATGTGGTATAGACTGCTTGCACTGAGTGATCATATGTAGACCTGTTCCTTGAATTTTAGAAATGTTTCTTTGTGTTTCTCTTAAAACAATTGATGCAAGATTTCCTCTGGCATGAAATATCCCACCTTTCTCAGTGTGCCTACTGGAAGTGAAACATTAGTGATTCCTAGTCAGTTTTTCTTAGTAACATATTGAGCATGTTATGGCTGGCAGACTCATAGAAATGTTATCTCCTGTCTTTACTAGTGTTATTTTTGAAAAAAAATCATTTATAAAAGCTCTTAGAAAATTACTTATATTTTTTAAATTATAAAATGGAAGCTTGTTAAATTACTGGGTATTGATGATGCCATTAGCTAGATTCGACAAGTCACTAAGGTGAGCCTCCTTCCTTTCTGGCTCAGCTTTTGGCATGATGGAGTTCTGGATATTTATAGTGAATTCTCATTGTAATGGTTTCTACAAATGGTAATGATAATAGAGACTTGATATCGTTAATCCAAAGAAGGCAACGTGCCAAATTAACAAAAGCATAGACTTTAAGGTCATATAGACCTTCGGTGTAAGACTAGAACTGGATTTCAAGTCGTGTTTGAATGAGTTACTTAATTTTTAAGCATCATTTGCCTCACTTTCAAAGTGGGAAAAATGCTCAGGCCATTAGATAATCATGAATATTAAATATTGCAAAGCACCCAGCACATAATAAGGGTCCAGTAAGTGCTAACTCCTTTCCTCCTCCTCCTCTTGGTCCAGCATAGAGAAGAGAAAGGAGCAAAGGAGTTGTTCCATATTTTAATTTTGGGCAATTTGAATTTACAGTTCAAATTCATTCTACTTGTTACAACTGTTTGTCTTATGTTTTGGACCTGGTGAATACATGCTGTGTTTAAGATTGAGCTAAATCTTCATTAGAAAGAAAAAAAGAAGTGTCCTCTTTTTTTTTTTTTTTTGTAAAGACCAGTCTGGACTATAAAAACATGATCTTAACCCTTCCTCTATGAAAATCTTTCTTACAGATAATGATTTTAAATGATATGATTTGTTTTTTGCTTTTGCATAAGAGGTAATTAAAGAAAAGGGACTAGAACACGTTACTGTTGATGACTTGGTGGCTGAAATCACACCAAAAGGCAGAGGTAAGGAATACAAATTGTGTGAAAGGAAATGTGGGCTAAGACATGCTTTGTTTTCTCTTTTGCTAGTTCAGGTTTTCTTTTTTTTTTTTTAACAAGGAAAAGCACTCTTTCTAAAATTATGTGGGTATACTTGCATCTTCTCTTTGGGAAGAGTTATAGTTGCCTTGCCAACTTCCTTGCACAGTTTTGAGTAACAAACGAGGTGTGAAATGTTTTGTACTCTTAAAACAATATACCCCTGTAAGTTGATATGGTTGTTAAAACAGATAATTTCTAAAATTTGGGATTTTTTTTATAGAGGCAAATATTACCCGAAGCTAGGATTTGTAAAGTTTAGCCTGATGTTTAATAATTTAGTGTTTTACACCAACCCCTGAGTCATTGCTCACTTTCCTTATTAAAAATAAACAAAATTGTCTTCTTGTATGTCTAATTAAGAATCTAGTAGCTCCGTAACTTCATGATTGGGTAATTCATGTTTAAGACTCACACTTCAGCTGCCTTCTTAATTTCTCCCTTTAATGCCTTGTTAAGAGAAACCAAAAGAAACAGGAAATAATGTTAAGTCTATATGTAATAATTAGGTGTAACTAGATTATTTTCATTTATTTTGAGGAAGGCGGTAGGGGGTGGTTGTAGTTACAAGTGGAAGCAGGTAAATTAGATAACCCATTAGTTGTTTCTTCACACAGAAAAAGTGAAAAGAATTGAAGTGTGAAAAGTAAATCACTTTGAAATTATTACTAGAGAATACTAGGCCCCTGATTTGCTACCACCTGGAAAGAGCTACAGCATCCCGTGGTCCTTTCCAGCCATCTTTTAAAACGTAGCTTTGTCAGCCAATCATATTTCAGGGCGGGGGCAGTACCTACTGCTCTCCCCATGGATTTATATTTTTAAATGAATTTCTATATTGTGTTTCTACTTTTCTTCTGTAATTTATGCTTAATCTGTTAACATTTAAGAAGTAGATCTGTTAACAGGGTAGAAATTTTCTCTTATTTCCTTCAGTACTTGTGTGTTGGATATTTCAATCCCTTATAGCTCCCCTGCTAGAGAATTAGCAAAAAAGAAAAGTAAAAATAAATATTTTCTTTTTATTGTTAAGAAAGTATTTTTTAAATTAACATATGGTAAAATTGATCCTTTTTAGTGTCAGTTCTGTGAACTTTATACCATGTATAGATTCGTTCTAAAAGACTCCCTCAAGCTATTCCTTTATAGTCACACCTCATCCATAACCCCAAGGCAGCTGATCTGTTCTCAGTCATCATAATTTTGAGTAAAAGTGTATTTCATATACATATTGATCACATTTCCAGTGGACTTAATTATGTAGTCCTTACTTGGCAGGTTTATACTAAATTTATAAAAAGTATCTCTTATTTCATTTCTGTCATTTGTGGAATTTTTTGTAGAAATATTGAACTATATCTGAATATTTCATTTCCTCTGGATTCTAGCAAATAACGTTAGAGGTTAAAGTTAATTCCTTCTTGTCCTTATTTATTAGTAGCCAGAAAGGGGAGAAATAGTATAGATTTAATAACTGACATTTAATATTAAGTTTCAAGGATCAGGGCTTTTTCCCCCCTCTTTTTTTTTGGCTGTGCCTTGCAGCTTCTGGGATCTCAGTTCCCCAACAAGGGAATGAACCTGGGCCACATGGCAGTGAAGCCTGCAATCCTAACCACTAGGCCACCAGGGAACTCCCATTTCCCCATTTTTGGTTTAATATTCAGAGTAGGTAATATAGTCAGTCACATGATTCAAGATTTGAAATATGAACATATGACAGAAACAACTATTGTTGAAGCTTTTGCATCTTTGCTGATTCAAGAGAATATATGCATTTATTTCAATACAGTATCAACCAAATTATCTCCCCAAATAGGCTGTATCAGTTTATTCTCCCACCAGCCAATGTAACAGGGCCAATTTTCCCTAAGTCTTGCCAGTACATATATTAGTGACCTTTGGATTTGAGCCAGTCTGATTGGTAAAACATGCTATCTGAATGGTAGTTTTTAATTTTCATTTCTGTTGTGAGATTAAATTCTATTGACATTCAAGAACTGTGTGCTTCTCCTTTCATCATTTTTCTGTAAGCCTGCTGATCTTTTTCATATCAAGTTGAAGAAATTGTATAGTAGAGAGTTTACCCTGTTTTTATAAGAGTGCTTTCTCTGTTTTTTTGTTTGATTTTAACCAGGCTTATGAAGTTGCATTTGAATCAGATTTAGCAATTTTTTATAGCCTCTCTTTCAGAAAGGCCTTTTCTATTCCTAAAGAATTTTCACATGTGCAGTATATTTTTAGATATTGGATTGTTCTTTCAAACAATAAATTTCAAATATATTTTCTCAAATGTCTTTTTTTTTTTTTTGAAGCATGAGGGTTACTTATGAATTTCACTTGGTAATCCTGAATAAAGTACCAGATCTCAAATTGATAAATATTAATTGGAACCATCTTACTCTTATGTTTTTATTTTTATATTTCAGCCCTGGTACCTGACAGTGTAAAGAAGGAACTCCTACAAAGAATAAGAACATTCCTTGCTCAGCATGCCAGCCTTTAAGATTGAATTAGATTGTGTTGTTTTGTGGTTTTATTTCTAAAGTAAAACTTGCCATAAATTAGGAATCGACTCCCCAAAATAAAATCCTTTTTTGTATGATGGTATACAGTTTTCAGTAATGATGTATACATTGTATTGATTTTTTTCCCTAAATGTGTTATTTTAATAAATATCTCATGAATGAGTTTGAAGTTTCCTTGGATTTTGGAATAAATGGGACTTTATTAATAATTCATCAGATTTGTTGAGAGAAAAGTCAGCAGTTAATATAGTTTAAGTGTTAAGTATGTAAATGTTAAGTAAGCACATTTCTGTACTAACAATTTAGGGGAAGTAAGCAGCCTCTTCTGATTGTTTGGATATAGTATATGCCTCTTTTGAATCCCTATATTTTATAATATATGTCCCATCTTGTACTATGGATACCTTATTTCTTATTTGTTATAAATGCTGAGGGTTAGGACTGGGTCTTACTCATCTTTATGTGCCTTCCTTATTCCTCAAAGAATTACCATCTTACTGGAAGAGAGAACATTTGCAAAGTGGCTCCATACCAAGCTCCTCTCACATACTCTACTCATCTGAACTTTGAAAGCAGAAACTAAATTGCATCCCCACATACTAAGGTCAAGACGAACTAATGGGAAATAATCTCCACCCATAGCTTTACTTTGACATCAAGATTGCCAAATGCATGGACTTTTGTCTGTTCTTATGTGAGCTCTGCTGGAAAATGAGAATGTTGACCATCCTGCCACTTGGAACTCTTCCCACTTCTCACGTTGTTTAGACCTCCCACTGGAACCTCCTTCTGTTTCTTGTGGATACCTTTCGCTATATGGAACTTTAAATAATGATGTTTCTTAGTGCTCCCTCTGGGCCCTCTGCCTAATGATATGATTTCCTGGGCAGATTCCAGGAAACTTGGGTCGGACCATGGCTTCAAATACTAACAGATTGATAAATGGTAAACTGCATCTCCAACCCAGCCTCAGGATCCATATACTCAACTGCTATGGAGCAGCTTCCTTGAATGTTCCATAAACACCTCAAACTGACCACACCTAAGAGTGATTTTTTTTTTTTTTGTCTCCAGTAACTGCCCATACTGTGTTTCTATTCTGTCTGAATGATTCTCCCAGACATACAGATTACCTGAAAGTGTTAGTTGCTCAGTCGTGTCTGACTCTTTGCAACCTCATGGACTGCAGCCCACCAGCCTCCTCTGGGATTCTCCAGGCAAGAATACTGGAGTGGGTAGCCACTCCCTTCTCCAGGGGATCTTCCCGACCCAGGGATTGAACCCAGGTGTCCTGCATTGCAGACATATTCTTTACTATTTGAGCCACCAGATTACTTGTTAAAACACTGATTCTAAAGGTAAGGAATATGGCACAAGATTGTGTATTTCAGACAGGCTTCTCAAATGTGCTCATGCTGCTAATCAAGACCATTTTGAGTGTCACAAGATTGTAAATTGTCAACTACCTGCCCTCTTAGGCCCTCTTAAGTTCAAACCCAGATTACTGCAGTAGGCTCTTAATAATTCCTCGCTTCAGTTGCTCCATGCCTCCTCCAATATATCTTCCACATTACTGCCTAAGTGACCTTACTAAAATTCAAGTCTGGTCATTTTTATTCCCCTACCTGTAATTTCTCAATAGGTAAAGTTCAAGCTCAGCCATATCACCTAGGCTCCTCTTGAACTGCCATTTACTTATTTCTCTGGTTAAGAGTCCCCAAAAGGGTCAAGTTCCTATATCTCTAATTCGGTAGAAAATGCACCAAACTGGGTAGCCCTCTTACTTAACTCATTCCTACTTGCCTTTCAGAATTCAGCTTGTTGCCAGAATATTCTGACGTTTCTTGCTCTGTGCTGATTCCTGACCACTTTTTCTATGAGAAGCACCTGTTCCTGATTTTAGCACAGTGGTTTTCCCACTTGAGCAACTCCTGGAGGGGAGAAAACATGACTTTATTTTGTATGATACTTATTTGTGGGTGAATGGACAAAGCAATTAACACATGAATGAACTAGTGAACAAACATGGGAGCAAAAAAGGTAACTAGTGCAGTTGAGGAATGCATTCATGTTAATTTTGGATCATGCTCTAGAGATACAAATTTCTGATGAATTTATGTTTTAAGTGTAGTCATTGAACAAACTGGACTTAATTATGAGAACTTGAGTCCAAGACACACAAAATTATAAAACTGCCCCAAAAGATTTTGTTTCACTTCATTTCTTATAAAATAATAGTTATATTCACCATTATGCTACCAGTTATTCAAAAATGAAACAATCTTAAGTGGTACATAAATGTTGAACAATTAGTTTTTATTTCATAGTACTGTATATGAAAGCAAATTGCTCATAAAGATACTAGTTTAATAGCTCAAAAGAAAATATGAGAAAATGGAAAATATTTTGAAATGGAACAAAAATAGCTGAATTGAAAAGAATAACAATTCAAAATACTAAAGAGCCTAGCTTTAAAATGATAATATCGAAAAATTCCCCACTATCTCTAGGTTTTTTGCTTTTATTTTTGACCTCTTAGAAATTATCCTGTAGTTTTCATCTAGAACCATTGATATCTTTCAAATAAACCAACTTTGTATATATCTTGACTCACATCATTGATTTATGTTAAATTAGGAATACATCTTTTAAAAGTTTTGCACCCTTTCATGCTCAGTGTTGAAAATTCATTAGGAGATTACTGTTACATGACTGTGTGTGAGTAAAATACTAATTAGGATTACCATAAGCTTCTCTTGTATAGGATTAAAGAAGACCCAAGTAAATTATTTATGTAATCGCTTTGCTCTGGCACCACAAGTGTATCATTTGGTTGAGCAGTGCCAGGCCTGGGCCTGGGTGATGCTGGGGATTGGTAATTAGATATGGGACTTACATAACTTGAAAAAAGACTCCATCTAACTCAAGAGAATTGTGACAGCTGCTCAGTAGCTGATGTTGGAAATGATCCAACATGTGGTTTAACCCTTCTTGTAAATGGCTATCTCATGTTACTCAGTGGCTTCATGAGACCCCTCATACTTATCATCAGAAACCACACAAAAGTCATTGGATGAATCTGCCAAGAAAACTTAACAGGTGCAATTAGACAATTCGAGTTGTGATCTCATCTATTACACTGAATTATCAGGTAAGGCTGACTTCTGCCTCAGTTTCTTCATCTGCTTAATAGATCTGATAATGCTGACCTGGAGAGAATGAAAATAATTTTTAAAACTGTAAACATTATTAGTAGGATAATTATAAAAAGCAAAATGGGTAAATCAGATCTGTAAAAAAGTACAGATTCATGTTATTCCTAGGAAAAACTTGTTCAGTTGCTCAGTCCAACTCTTGTACAACCCCATAGACTAGCCTGCTGGGCTCTTCTGTCCGTGGGATTTTCCATGCAAGAACGCTGGAGGAGGTTACCATTTACTCCTCCGGGGGGTCATCTCGACCTAGGGATTGAGCTCGCATCTCTGCCTCTCCTGCACTGCAGGCGTATTCTTCACGCTGAGCCACCTGGAAAGCCCTAGGAAAAACTAGAAATATGTAGTTATTTACTATGTATCTTCTAGATTTAGTTTTGATACAAGGATTACACTTGTGTAGAAAGATGCTTTTATTTTTCAGGAATTTCCAAATAATATTAATTGCCATAAGAATGCCTACAAATATAAAGGCCTACATAATAACTTGATCAGAATAGAAAAAAATCACTATAATTGCACTTAGCAGGGAGAGCTGAAATTATCTTTTTACCCTGATTTTACTATGACACAAATCTGTATCCCACTTATCTTTTGATCTTCAATGTGTAACAGAGTGCGTAACATATTCCTAATATGTTCTTTTAAATGAATAGATAAATGGCAAAGGAGAAAACCTGTTTATTCCCGATTTTGAATTATATTTGGTTATTCTGCTCATCAGTCACCAGGGGGCAGTTGAAGCCTATACTTTGATCCTCTCTGGGGCTCACTGAAATATGTTCTCATGTCAACAGGCCCAAATCCAGGCCAGTCAGCTTTTTCAAGATGATAATGCAATTGAATTAAAACCTCATATAAAGACCTCAGAATGTGCTTCTTGTATATATTAAGATGAAGCTACACTGAGATGCTATTTTAGTGGGATAATAATGTAGATATTATTTTACTGGGATCATTTTCTGAAGCCAATTTAGTAATTCAGACAGCAAATTGATTTAAATAGCACAACTGAAATAATTCTATTTCAACTATTTTATCAAAAAAGCACAGTACGTAAATTCTTAATAAATAGTTTCCAGTACATTTTCTATCACTATGCTTCTCTCTCAGAAAGCCCTTTTCAAAGAATATTCATATTTTTTCTCTTACAATGTAACTTTGTTAAAATACATATATGCATGTCATGAAGTGCGAAGTCACTTCAGCAATGTCTGACTCTTTGTGATCCTATAGACTAGCCTTCCAGGTTCCTCTGTTCATGGGATTCTCCAGGCAAGAATACTGGAGTGGGTTGCCATGCCCTCCCCCAGAAATATATATATATATATGTATGTATTCACAAATATATACATATATATATATATATATATATATATATATATATATATATATATATATATACACACACACACATAAATAGAGCCTCATATAGTTCCAAATGAATGCTGGCTTGTGGTAACAGTGAAGAAAGCCAATGAATAAAGGTAGATAGAATCTGCATGCATGGTGGATTGTTGCTCATAAAACAGTTTTGATACTGGAGCTGGTACTCATCACATCTATAAATGCTTTGGCTTTGTACCTGGGACCACCAGAATTAAGTGATAATAAAGGCCTTCCAGTTATTTTATACCTTTGTATTCTAAAATTATTTGTGGAGGGCACAGCTTTAAGAATTTATCCTTCCCAGACAGCTTCTTATATCAAAGTTGGGCTTTGGCAGCATAAGAGTCCCTAAATAGAGTAATTGAAATAGAGATGTC